AACTTAAATATAAATTTATTTTAAAACCCACATCGTGTTTGTTTTATATTTTGTACCGTACGCAAAATTATTAAACTTAGTCAAAAGCAAGACCTGACACTTTTAAAAATTAGGACAGATCGGGGGCATGAAAGAAACTTCTATGCTAATAATCCCAAATGTTGACTGCTAGCAATTCTGGTGTTGACATTTGGCGCAGCGTGGGTACCCGGCAATATATAAGGTTGACACGACGTATTTTGTTCTCGAATTTGGAATCTTTTTGGGCTTTGTCTTGGGGCGTTTCGTGGGTGGAGTTTTTAGGCTAAGGTTTTTGGTTTTCTCTTTTTGCATTTTTTTCTTTTTCTTTTTTTTTTTCCTTTGTTGGCCTTTACATAGAATTTTGATAATTTTGATAATATGAAAAAATTTTAAGGATGGAGATTGCTTTGATAAATATTTTTTATTCATTAATTTGTTTTCCTATGATAAAAATTATATTTAATATTTTTATTCATTCTTTTACATTTTTTGTGCTTTAAAATTTAATTTATTATATGTATATCTAATTTTAAATAAATTTAAGAAAAATATGTTAAAGTGGGAATATGTTTGGTAATATGATTTGTTTGAAATCACTATACTTTCTATTTCAAAAATATATTTGTTAAAATTACCACGACGGTAAGAACTAGAAAACACCAATAAAGTAATAGCATCTACATATTATGTTATATTTTATATCACAATCTGCTTTCACCAATGATTTATGAAAGATTTTATTTATTTTATAACTGGAATGCTTTAAAAAAGTTATGGGGAAAAAACACGCATATAATTTCATTATTTATGTTTTTAGCGGCATTTTTGTATTCTAAGATAAAAGATACCTCAGTGCCCTGACAATTTATGAGTGGAAGATGAGAAGGTGTCGAGATTGACAACAATATAATAAAATGGTTTTCATTTTCGTGGAACTCACAAAGAGTATATTATGTTAAAGTTTTAATTTTAATTGCAGTGATGGATATTTTGTCCTCTTCCATAAAAAAGAAATGAATTCTCCATCATGATTTTTTTATTTAATATATCTTGTAATTCTCATTTGCTCTTTTCCCTCCGGTCTCAACCCTTCTCTCCACGGGCAATAAATTAAAAAAATAAATATTTAAAAATACCACAAAAAGAACAGAAAAGGAACTTGGGAGGGTTAATTTTTATTCGTTTGTTTCTTAGCGGCCCCAAAAGCTTCCATATTCCGAGGGAGAGACTTCTGGCCTAGTGGTTGAGGCTGGCGATTTTTGAGGGCTCAAAGGCTGGGGCCCATGTAAGGTAAGAGT